TTCACCCCTTGTTTACGCAATTTATTTTTCAAGAATTTTTCGTTGGAATGGCAACAGACTGCAAGCAATTCTAAGCCTGACCCATCTCCACATCGGGGGCAAAATATTTAAAAATTAGGTTACAAACCCCACCACTGAACGTCAATAATATTTCACAAATTGGTGTTAAGTTTAAAATTGGAGTTAGATTCTTCTTAATAGTTCATTAGAAACTGAGTCGAAACTGAAATTTTGCAAACTTGCATTTCACATTATTCTTTGAGATTTTTTAATTATGGCCTTGCAAGACTACTAGGATACTGGGCTAAACATCACTTTGATAATACCAAGAGGTCCTTTATGCATACACTTCTGGTCGTGATGTTTTGCAAGTCACTTAGTGTTAGTCTATCAAATCACTGACTGGCAACTCAATTTCAACTGTCTTCTGGCCAGCTTTGAACAGTCTTCTCAGGTTATCAAATTTTCCAATCTTTGACTCAACATACAATACAAATGCATTCATGTGTTCTTGGTGATACAATACTTGTGAAGTTTCAAGATGTTTTTTTGTCGGTGTGCTAGCGATCGCTTGCCCACTATTCACGGCCACCTTGAAAGAATGTAAACTTATACGAATGTATGCTCATTAATATTAATGGCAAGGGAACCCTTGCAATGGTCACAAGTCTTATGTTTATTTGTAATAATTTGTATACACACTAATTGTTCTGAACATTTTTCTTCTAGGTTTTCAGCTCACAGTGGATTGGATGAAGTTGATGGCTTTGACAACTCTGTTGATCAGTTTATAGACAATATTGTGAGGCCATCACAAGATGGCGCTGCACAACCAAGAACATCCTTACCAGTGCACGCAAAGAGAAGGAGAGAACTTAGTGATGACTGGAGAGCTGATTATAGTAAAAAAGTTGCAAAATTACAAGAAGAAATCTCTTTATACGAGGATGAACTTCAACATCAGGAGAATCAGGCACTGGAGTTCACTAATGAGGAAATTACCCAAGTTATGTGAGTTCACATTGAATTATTTAAGGGCTGGTCCACTGATTTTATTGGGGTGCTTAGATTATTTCATAGGATAGTATTCCATTTCTGTTTTTCACTGACACATGAAAGCATAAAAATGTCTTTTTCAAACTTATTTGAATCACTGTACTAAAACCTGAATTTATTGAAAATTAAAAATACAACTCAGAGTTTGAAAAATTCAGACAACCTAGCAATGTTGTGTTTTGTATAACTTTGCCATGGTGGTGCTTAGAGGAAGTTGATTTTGTTGAAAATTATTTCATCAAAATATATCATTTTGTTTAATAACCTTTTCATCAAATGTTGAATATACTGGGTATTGTTATTCAAGAATCCAAATACCATTCAAGTAGATATCAATTAATTAATTGATAAAACTTTCATGTGTTTATTGTCCCTGGTATAAAATAAATGATTTTCAAAGATTTTTGGGACAGCTAGTCATGTCAAAAGTTTGTTTTGTTGAAAGGGGATGGTGCTCTTGATGCTCCTGTAATATTGTTATTATTATTTACAAAGACAAATACTTGATATTTTGTTAAGTAAAAGGTTCCATCAAATAAATAAAAAACGGCAAATAAAAATAGGGCATACCCAAACTTTGTTTCCATGGAAACAATAACTTTGTGATTTTCTCATAGTGATCTTGCAGCTATTTTGAATTGAAAATTGGTCAAAATAAATACAACTTCTAAGGGTGATAATTCATAAACTACTTGTAGTTGGTGTAGACTTCATGTGATTTTTTTTTTTAAGTCAGAGGAAGTAATTTTCATAAATTTCAGACAATTCCTGTGTCAAATATGTTAGCCATGTCCACTCACTTATTACTGTGTTGAGGATTTAGTACATAAAATATGGTGACCGTGTTCATTCCAAGCTTACACCTGGAAGAAAAGATAACGTTTTTTCTGTATATAACATTAACAATACACTTTTTTTAATTCAGGAAACATTTTCGTAATGCACCAGATGCATCTGAGTTTGAGAAAGAATATTCTCAGGTATGACATTGCTCACTATCCTCAGCATTTTTTATTCAATACCATACTTTGCCCAATTTCAATATTTTTGTTCAGTTGTAGTTGCTCTTACTTTATTCTAGTTAAAATGTTATAATTAACAAATCACATTGTGAGGCATCGTTCGAATCCCACAGTTTCGCTAAAGACGGACATACAAAACCACTCTACAAACCTGTGCGTGATCGTGTTGGGAAAAGCTGTATTTCACTGCAGCTAAATTGAGTCATTTGATTGGATGTGCCAAGGAGCTGGCGCCACCAATCAGAGTTGCTGTATCTTAAATGGGATGATAGAGGAGCGCATCACAGATTAAAACAATTGCGACGTGTAGGCTTTGCACTGATCCACTCGGAGTCAAGAACAGAATATCTATATTCGTTGACATGTTTCCAAAATTTTTTATTCCAACTTTGAAAATTGTTTGTGGGCCAATGAATGAATGAGGACAATGTCTAAATATTTGTGCAAACTGTATTTTAGTAAACTGAAATATTGCCTTGCTCGATTGGTCCTTGTTGCAACACAGTCGAGGGACTCACTGTGCTTGCAACCATCACTTCATTTTCCTCAGATACAGCACTAAAGCTTTCTTATGATGATCAGTAAGCTCGTTCAGAGTAAAAACTAGCAACACGTTTATTTGATTCCGCCATTTTAATTTTACCAAGTAATGTGTAGTTTCTTTCGTGAGTTCTGATTGGGTGATGCAAATGAGCCAAAGTGAATCTTATAATTGTTTGAGGGTGTGCAATATACAGTAAATCGTGGTGAAATCTGCCAAGGGTTAATGTTGAGGCTTCGGCCAAATAAATGGTTCTTGTCTGGCGAAGATGAGTGTGAGGTTGCTTACATAAAATCTTACTAGAACAATTTGTTGTGGCTTTTTTATTCTCATCCAGCTACCCCGCGACTAAGTGCAAATCGTGACTGACTGAGACGAGACGTAGCTAGGGGTCACTGTACTTTAATAGTTAACACCAAACTTGAGTTATCATATTTTGGTGTATGGCTGACATTTTAATAATACTGGTTTATGGTCAATACAGTCATTTTGATTATTCTCGTTTTTGTGTTAATTTCATTAAATATCATAAGAAAAGACTTAAATGTTTTATTCTTAAAAAATCACTGTTCTTCAATTTTTTTATTTTAAAAATACAGTTGAAAGTTAATAGTACCATGAGTGGGATTCATTTCACTGATATCACCAGTGTATTGTTGACCCATACATCAACTTCTACAAGAAGACAACAAACATTGCAAGGAAAATGTCATGACATGTCATTCCAGGTCCAATTTGAAGTCACTGAACCCAATGTAAGTAAACAAGATGCAAGTAACAAGTTTTCTATTTTTAGCATCAAACTTTACAAAATATATCCAAATTTGAATCGATAAATCCAGAAAATGTTTTGAAATATTTTAAGGAAGTATGAACCCACAAATACCTTAAATAGTCTTAAATGAATTTTGGTTGACATTGATAAAACAGTTTATCAGCCTTGGAGCAGCTGGAATATAGAATGTCAATAAATATTTGAGAGACTGTCGTTATTTTATATCACATCATTGCTATGATTGCTTTTTCTGCATTTCTGATTATAGAATATTAATATTTTGAGCTTATTTATTGTAATTAGATAGTTGCCAAATAAGAATTCCCAGTTAATAAAATTTGACCTGCTGACCTTGCTAAAAAAAAAACTATCCCATTAAACAATATGTTGATATGTGATCATGCTGTTTTAATCAATGTTTATGAATGTAAACTATCTGTAATATGATGATTAGCAACTGACTATTGTGAAGTCTATTCTCTTCGTTCATTCAATGTCATGGTACTATGAAGCGCCCTCTGTAGTCCAACAGTGAACAAAAAAACTCCATATGTCCAGTGGTATTTAATTTCACTTTTTCATACTTATTTTTATTGTATTTTTAAACTATTTTTATTGTAATTTGTAACATGTCCATGTGGATTTAATTCAGCAGATTTCGCTTGAAATTGAAATTGAAACCAAGTGAATAATGAATTTGTTTGCACTGACTGTGGTTACTATTATTTTTGTCCTCATTGTTACCTTTCAATATTTATTGATAATTTAAATTCACACAGTTATACTGTGACTATTTCTGATGATGCATTTATTATCACTGATGCTTACTGTAAACAAAAAAGCAATCCAGCAGCAGTATTGCAATATACATGTGTATCTCATTGCTTTGCTAACAAAGTAGAAATATTGATATCAGCTTACTATTACAAACTATTGCATTTGAATTATCATCATTGCTATTTTGTTTGTGAATTATATTGCAATGCTGCTCGTTGGGTTGTTTTTTCGCTCACAATAATGTACATGTAAAATCACATTTGTCAGTTAAGGTCTTTGATGGTCTTAGCAGAAAGACAACTTAACTGTATCACTCGATTTGTGCAATGTTATGACATATTGCACATGTAATGGTGCGTGTAATGGAGTAAATATGTAAATATTATTCTAAGTATTGAGACTGAAATAAAAATATTAAAATAAATTTTTCTATTATTTATACAGAAGGCTAAGCATGTTGATGATGATGATGATGATACCGACTCTCTGCACAGAAAACTTGCTGCTGTCACCAAGTTAAAAACCAAGGTCGATGACCGAATTCAGCAGGAAATGGCAGGATTTCTCCGAAACATTGAACACAACAAAAATCTTCAGCAGTTCTTCCGAGGTTTTGTATGCTGTGCTAAGTGGAGTAAATACAGACACAAAACATTTCAGCATTACAAGGTATTACAATGAATTTGAAATATAACAACATGTCTGTGTGGTCTGAGGTCATTCTCCAACAGTTGGAGCAAACTTCCTGTGTATACCTATATGTGCTATGGCTAATTTTGGCATAATGTTGACGTAAATTGAACGTGCCATGCTCGAATATCATTTCCTGTATATAGCAGTCAATGTAACTTGGCTAATTTGGGTGTAATGTTGACGTAACTCAACCATGTCATGCAGTGCATATCAATAACCAGATGTAATGTCCATAATTGGTTACAGTGTTTGTGAAGTTGCCTGCAAAGAATGGTAGACCTAACACTACTGTTATCTTATGTATTATTCCCTACAGAAAGTTTACCCACAGATTGTACAGTTGGTAGGTGGTCCTACAGGTGATAGTTTATGCTTCCACCACCCAAAACATGCAGGGTAAGCACTGTAAACTTTCTCTATAGTATTCTGCCATTCACTAGTAATATATATTGTACAAATTAACATTGTGTGTGGTATATTTACACTATTATTTTTTCCAAGATCTCTTTACAAAATATATTTTGTCCAAATTAACATTGTGTGTGGTATATTTACACTATTCCTTTTTCCAAAATCTCCTTACAAAATATATTTTGTACAAATTAACATTGTGTGTGGTATATTTACACTATCCCCTTTTCCCAAAATCTCCTTACAAAATATATTTTGTACAAATTAACATTGTGTGTGGTATATTTACACTATTATATTTACACTATATGCTGCAGATTTTTTGCATTCTAGCACAATGAATGTTAATCCTTTCAAAGATGGCCGACTGGCAGCCATTTTTAGCTCCGCTGTCGACTTTGTCGAGCGGAGCTTATCATATGAGTGATTGTCCGTCGTCGTCCGTGTCGAAGTTTTACTTTTTTGACTTCTTCTTGAAAACTACAAGCCTGAATGCTTTTATACTTGGTGTATATGTACTTTGAGTAGACCTCTCTCAGATTTGTTCATTTCATGATCATATCTTCTCTAATTTTGGTGAATATTTTTGTCATTTTTGGTAAAAAGTGATATTTTCGACTTCTTGTTAAAAACCGCAAGTCCAATTGCTTTGATATTACATATATAGATTCTACATGTGGACCTCTCTCAGATTTGTTCATTTTGTAATGATATCTTTAATTATCTAATTTTGGTGAATATTTTTGTCATTTTAGGTAAAAAGTGATATTTTCGACTTCTTGTTAAAAACCACAATCATTTATGGTGAAAAATGATATTTTTGAATTCTTGTTGAAAACAGCAAATCCCATTGCATTGAGACTATGCATATAGTTCATTTTCTAATGATAACTTCTGTTCTTTAATTGAAATGTGCATTGCTAACAGCAGAGCTATCTCAGCCGAGAGGCTGCTTGTTTTTAAATGCACTAAAATTTGGACATGCTCAGGTTGACTTGTTGTGATGATTCAATATATTGGGTGCCTGATATATGTCCTGTCTCATTTCTTTTTTTCATTTTGGCCATTTTTGTGCATATTTTATTTTTCAGACGTGCTTTGACCAATTTGCTTCAAAATTGATGATTAATGTACAAGCAGAGGGGGCTGTGAAATTCTCAATGGCCATTTTCATGTTAAAAGATTATGTTCCTTGCCAAATAATTGAAACATAATCTTTAAATAAACTGTTGCCTGATTTTTGTAAAACTCAATCAAGCACTTCTGTTATTTAGAACTGAAACTTGCCGGTAGTTATACGTTGACACTTTTTTTAAAACTTGGCCTATACATTGAACATATTGATGTAGGACATTTTTTTTACAGATCAGATTTAAAATGGTTAACTGGTGGCCATTTTCTTCACACACACATCATGTCTTATATATGCATATTCATTTGTTTTGCAGTCAAATTCAAGCATTTCTGTTTTTATAGAACTGGAAGTTGGTTGTGCATGTACAGATTTTATAATGAGACCTTGATGCATCACCATTTTGTTTTGCAGACTGTATATAAAAATGGTGTACTGGTCGCCATTCTGTTTTTTAATGAATGACGTTTCAGAGCCTTAGCTCAGACATTCCCAGACCTTCACATTCAAGTTTCACAAATACATCTCGGGATACTAATATGCATGTTTGTTTGTTTCACGATCCAGTTCATTGGCATACTACCATCAATTACCATGCTAAAAATACCATAAAAATAACATTTCTAAAATAGTGAAATGAAATCTCAGCCTGCATTTGTGGATTTCATTCATTCTTGGTCAGAACAAGTTTCACACTTGTAATTGAAATTGTGCTCATGCGTGTATCAAAAAAATACCGGACGAATGTAGCTCCCTATTTTCTTTGTGATTTAATATCCAGGGTAGCAATGACTTGTATTTTTTTCATACTGTCCAAAAATTATAAAGGTATAATCAAAGTAAAAATTTTCAGAGCAATGATTAATTGATACATGATAATAGTTTTCTTGATGTATTGTTTTGAATTTACTTTATTTGTGTGATACAGACATTAAAGTGTGACCTCATCTTTGATGTGTTCATAACTAGCAATTGGCTTTGTATCTGATCTAATGTTGAAATCAACAACTCTGATTAACTATGAGTTAATATCAGGAATACATAATACATGTATGTCTAAATTTTGGCATTTATTTCAAGTAATTTACATGCATTTCAATGGGAGCTTCAATTCAAGTGTGAGACCTATATAGCATACTTTTGTGAATATGATTCAAATTGGCTGACTGGTGGCCATTTTGTTTTCAAAAATACTGTTCTGCCATACCTGTTCTGAAATTCGAGGGCCAATTTCATTCAAACTTTTACAAACTCCATCAGGCCACTGGCCATTGTCATTTTCACAATTCTGCCATTAACCAACTGGATGTAATGTACCTTCTGTATACAGCATTTCATTTCAGCTTTGCTTTGTTTATTGTGTCATGTCAGTGATTTGTTTTTTTTGTTGCAGGCCAATTTTTACAATTAATTGGAAGATGGTATTGACATCTAATTATAAATTAGTACCAAATATTGATTGTTTTATTAAAGTACCTGACAATTGTAAGTATCAAGTTTTATTCATATAATATTCTTATTATTGAAATAAGTGCTACCGCGCCGCGATAGTTAAGTTTGTATTGACATTACAATGTTAAGTGACTGTTGTGCATGTCATTCACGTTGCTTGTGAATGTTCTCCAAGTAACTGAAATACAAGCGATGAGCTTACTATTGTGTTGATATCCTTTTTCTCAAGCTACCACTGCATGTACTCAATTTTTTGACATTTTGGGTTATCATTATTGAAATAAAGAACTCTGCACTACTGATTATTGCGTGGCAACAGGGTTCAAATGTGAGTGCTTGCTCAAATAATGAGATTGACTGTGTCTCATATCTTATTGTGTACTTTCCCTTGCCCTATTGGGCAGTGCAACATTATTTATTTTCTGAATAAAGCTGACTTGAAGTTTATTTTGATAAGGGTCATAATCACATCAGTGGTTGTAAAAGAAAATGGAAGGCTACTAACATTCATAGATATGTTTAATTAGCATATGATTCATTTAGCATAAATCGGTAAAATCACATTTTTCTCAGGTATTTTAACATAGTTGTCATTACTTTCTAATTCTTATAACCGTTAACATATGAATTATTTAACAGCTTTGGAATTTTGTAGAAATATTCAGAAAATCATAAAAATTCATTCAGTGATTATCTATTTTCTACTGACAAAATATATAGTGAATGTCAATAAAAAGCTGTATTAAAGACTGATTAAATCAATTTACTTGACATTAATTGACCTTATTTGGATGACACTACATGAACGTCAATGACAATAAATATGTTTTGTAGATTATGGAATAATCGATTAAGGTTATTATGAGATAATCTGTCGTAGGTAGAGACTATGGTTGTTTTTAATCTGTGATCATCAGTTTATGGTTGATAGTGTAAATGCATCATGCCCATTCCAACTACATCTCTGCAGCTCCATTTAGCCTTACTAAAACAGACTATGTCAGCCAAGTAGTGGCCTATCAGGCTGGCTGCTGAATCTGCTAAACTTGAATGGATTTGCATACAGATGCAGAAAGAGGCATGTACATCGCCATCACAGGTCACAGATTTAATGGAACCAGGGTCTTTAACTTCTATTTACATCACATTTCCATCAGATTGATTAGGAGAATAAGTACCTCTATAAAGTTAACTTCAGCATCTACCGAAGCATCTGTGGTTGTGATCAATTCCAATAAACTTATAGTACCGTAAAATCTGTATTAGAAACCTCATCCCTAATAGAAGCCGTTCCCATTCTTTTTGAACAATTGAGACCCACAAATTCATCTTTCCCATATGTGTGTAGACGCTTTAATAGAAGCCCCATCTCCTCTGTTGCATTGTATCATTTTAATAGAAGCCTCAGCTTTTAATACAGATTTTGCAGTACTTATTATTAAGAAAAGTAAATAAAACTTAGGGGGGAAAAGTGCAGAATTAATTGAGAAAAAAACCTTGAACCAATCTTTTTATATTAAACAGAACTTATCAAGTCGTCACCCTATCCCAGACCCAGACAAAAGGTTGTCTTGGGTCAGGTATTGGCCTCAAAATTGACCTGATGATGACATGTTATGTGGCTGATACAATTTGATAAGACTACCAGCTGACCTACAATGTGTGATAATTATTACATGATCATGAAATGAGATACTCAACTCAAACTCAAAGGACAATTTCGAGATTTGTTTCTGCTGCAACTACAACTGACAAAACACTGAAAAGTTATTCAATGTGTATTTAATCAATGTTGATAGAATGCATGATTACTGATGTTACATGTAATGTAAACACATGCTTGACCAGGGTAGCATGTCCAGAGTAGCACATCTTACAGTGTGAGTCAATATATTTTGATTATCTGGAACACTATGACACAGACATTAAAGAAGTTTGTATTTACCGTGTATCTCAATTTTAGATATATAATTTAATTATATATCTAAAATAGTTTCATTTGCAGTTTGCC